TAATAATAATAAGGGGCGGCTGTGGTGGCGTGGTTAGGAGAGTCGTCCTGTAACTGGAGGATTGCTGGTTCGATACCCTGTTCCAGCTGTCTCAGCCGTTGTGTCCTTGGGCAAGACACTACACTTGCCTTGCCTATGATGGTGGTCAGAGGGTCCAGCAGCCCCACCTCTGTCAGTGTGCCCCAGGGCAGCTGTGGCTACAGTGTATCTTACCACSATCAACGTGTGAAAGTGAAAGGACATACGTGTTCATAACCAGRTAGAAAATACACCAACGTTTGAATGTTTGAATGTGAAAAGAATTTATACAGCCACACCAGTGCTGGGACTGAATCTCAGGATTTAATGCTTTCTCTGTGCATTCAGCCAAGGATTCAGGAAAGWGTGATACTTTTATAGCCTTCTTCGGGACCTGACTCCACCTTTTGTCATTGCATCATTCAAAATGGCCAGCCTATGGCTGAAACCAGGTCCTCATACATTCCTGTTCTAGTGTTAAAACAACGGTTCAGTTAAGTGTTGAAAGTGTGTTCAGGCATGTATCTTACCTATATGTACCTCCTGCTCTGTGTAACCATCTTTGATAGCCACTCAGACCAGTCTGTACATAAAATCATCAATGTAATCACATAAATAATCACACAATGAAGAGATCATTATTCACCTGAGAAAAGTTTAAAGAATGTGTGATGCWTTTAAAAACCAGTAGTAAACAAACCCCAATAAATTTCTTCAAATGAATGGGTGAATGATTGACATGTAAAGTGCTTTGGGGTCCATATGGACTTGATAAGGTGCTATATTAGTTCAAGCCATTTGCCATGACAATAACAACACGTTTTGTTTTAAAAATGCCTTTCAGGATACTCAAGGACCCTGGGTATCATCACTCCTGTCCTGGTTCCCTACAGCCACACAGCACTACACAGAACTCTGTTTTCTTCGTTAAAATGATTCTCCACAATAAGTTCTCTACAGTGTGTATCAGTTTTAATGTTTCTCATTGGCTAGCACAATCAAAATTAACTTTTCAGCTTTTGTCCTTGAAGCCTTGATGAATTTATTGATGACTAAATGTGTCAGAAGTTTTTATATAGGACTGCCGCAGTACTAACTCATGTCTACTAAAAAAGAATATCAAGACTTAATCACCAGTGGTGTCCACTGGGTCACCAGAGGGGGCCCCTGGGGTGATAAGTCCCTGAGGTCAAGTCCTGTGTCCAATTAGGAGGTGATCAATTTGGTGATAAATATTTTTTAATCAAAAAGTTAGAGTGTGGAGATATCAATTTTATCACAAGGACTGTTAATTTGGAGAATGAATTTGTTGTTTCTAAGGAGTTTTAGGAAATAGGTTTGGTTCTAAATTGGATTAGAGTTTATTTCAGTCAGGTTTTAAGGTGAAAACTGAAGTTTTGTTTGGCTAAAGGGAGTAAATGTAGAGCTTGAGGCAGGTTCAAGCTGGGGTAGTCCATGCTAGAGGATGTTAATTTGGAGGAAAAGTTTAGGAGGTCTGGTCAGCATGTGCGATGTTGGATGTGTTGGTTGAGGCTAATCCTTTTAGAAGAAGTAATTTATCATTTTCAACTGGAGTGTTTCCAAATAACATGAAAATAGCAAAGGTAATCCCTCTTTATAAGAGTGGTGAGAAACATATGTTCACAAATTATAGGCCAATATCCTTGTTGCCACAATTTTCAAAAATTTTAGAAAAGTTATTTGT